CACGTCTCTCGTACCAAACTCCGAAGTAACTTCATGATCGTGTCTTCTACGGAGCCGGCTTCTCCTTTCCAAGGAGCTAGTCGTAGTCAAGTAAAAAGTAAATGGGTTGAGTTGATCAAAAGTTGCTGTTACTTCAGTGCTCTAATCCCATCCGGCTTGTACAACACATCAGAACGAGCTCTTGGTTTGCACGACTCACGTTTTCACTCGGCTCAATATCTCCCTTGTTCGGTTTCACCGATATTTCCAGTCCAATGGTTTGTATGTGATTGACCTATTCGTCCTTGAGGACTGAAGCAAAAAGAACAATTCCAGATAATGCAGCAATTTCATTGATAGACCGATTCCTGTTCGCAGTCGGCTAGATTCTCTCACTGTTGTTCACTCAAACGGACGATTCGATCTCGTGAGTAAAAGTAACTGATCAAGTGTGTTCCAGTAGAAGAACGAGTCCAGTTGTTTCATCCTCGTCATGTTTAGGCATTGTGCTCTCCAATTGCCGCTTGCCAACTCCCACGTCAGTATTCAGCGAGTGATATGCGATCCGTTGGTCCTTTTGAAAGTTTTTACCAGTACATGTATATTAGCATTAGTACGGTAGTGAACACTGCTGTGGTGTTTCCAAGTGGGATTGGGTGGAAATTCGCCTTGTGTCCACATAAAAAATTGTTCTTGTTACGTGAACCCAAATCAAATTCGTTCCCCCAGTGAAATGTCACTTTTGGACCGGGTTGAATGCTTGCTCACATAAGCCGTTCGCGCCAATGTGTGCACACACGCACACATTCCCCCGGGTAGAAAAACAAACAGTCGTCGAATTCCGGTCCACGCGCGTATTTCGGCTGGTTCCAATCTGCCATTAGTCCCACCGGCACCGCATTCGTGGACCGAGTGTGCGTATTAGCCAAATCACATTTGACTCATTCTGTGCGTTTCGATTTAATCGGTCGCGTAACCGGTGTTGCGCGATTGTTTGTGTTCCCGCGCGCGCCCATGTGCGTGTGTACGTGCTCGCGGTAGGTGTTGGGGCTTCGCGACAAACGGCACAACATAGGTAGTATGGTACACACACACACTGTACGTGCCTTTCGTTGTTTAATGTTCGTTCTGTTGTAACTTACATAAACTTCCCGATCTGGAGAAACATCCACTGTTCCATTTTTTTGCGTTCCAAAACCGAGTAGATCCACCTGTCGATCGTACCTAATTCCCAATAAATTACTAATTAAACATTTTTACTAAACATAGTTTTACGATGGTCGAAGAAAACTGTGTATTGCATAATCCTAAATTTCCACAGTTTATCTGTAGTTACCATCAACCTATGTGCTGGGCTCGAACGTCTAATCATACTAGCCATGACAATATTGATGATGATAGGGACCATCACCGAGGTGATCGAAAACCTTTTTTTGTTCTCCTTCTTACCCCAACCCCATTCAGATTTTGTTTAAAGTAACTCTATGAATATTGTTCCGGTCTCTTCAACCGAATTCAATGATAACTATATCATCGTTCCTGCCTTCATACCATAACCCAATCTGTCGTTCCAGTCTTAAGATTGTTTCTTGCTAGTCTACTCGTTTCTTGCTTCCATTCAATGATTCACTAGTATTCGAGTGAAATCTCAATCGATTTATTCAAGGAACTTATAATGCGTATCAATGCTCTCGGTCACGTCTAATTAATAATGTGATTTGTTTGCGAAAAGAACCCTTTGTAGGTTTACATGTTGCCCCCCCCCCGTTTCATTTGAAACACATCACAATCACATTTATATGAAAACGAAATACTCAAAAAAAACTGAGAAAGAAGTATCATGTGCAGTCAAGTTAGGGGCAGAGAGGGATGTAGAATGTAACTGAGGTTTTGGGGTAACTAGTCCTCATTTTTGTCACACTTTCAGAGCGTGAGTACTCGAAGACTTGCTGCAAGGCTGCTCAATTCAGTACTTCTTTTGTTCACGTTCGATATCCTGCTTTCTATGTCACGGTAACATCACGAACAACTTGCCTATTATCACTGTCTGGACAACCAATTAAGTTTTTTTTCGCTTCTGAGAGCAAACATTACTCGTACATTGCATCTGTTTCACTTTTCCATTCATTTATCCCGTCTTAAATTAATTCCCCCTAAACAGAACAACATTACCCCACTTCACATCGCGGCCAAATGGGGTCGCACAGAAATGGTTCAGCTACTTTTGGCCGCCTCTGCTCTGGTCGATTGTCGCACTCGAGATGGACTGACTCCGTTGCATTGTGCCGCGCGGTCCGGTCATGCCGAACTGGTCTCGTTGCTTATCGATGCCGGGGCGAATCCGAGCGCCAAAACTCGAGTACGTTTGACCCCCCCGCCTCCGTCTCTATCTTGTCGTGTTGATTCCTGTTGTTTCGGTCTTTCTCTCACTGGATTAAATCGCATCGGGTTTTACGCCTACACATGAATCACTGAAAACGTGGCCACCCGACCGATATGTGCCAACAGACTGTTTCCATGCCCTCATCCAATAATAGCTTAGTCCAGTAATCTAGACTAGTACTCGAACGAGCTTCAACCTTGTTGCCCTTGACTTCGAATCAGTCGCTGATTGGGTTTACCTCAGGGTTTTCCGAATCAATCGTGTACCTAGTTGACAGAGCTATGAAGCATCGTATAGTCGGCGATATGTACCCGATCAAGAAGTAAAAAAAATAACGAAGTATTTTTACTGCCCCTTTTTATTTATTGAATAAAAAAGATGTACCATCAACTTTCAAGAACGGGGGCGCAAACATACAAGGGCTACCTGGGAAAATACGGAAATGGGGACGATGGTCCGAGGTGGAGTGATTCGATCCCGGGGTTTCCGGCCCACTATTTTGAGAACCATAAGCACTTGACTAAAGAAACATTTAATATGCACTTTAATAATGCAAAAAGGGTCTCTGAAGTGAAGTCATCTCATGTGTCTTGTCTGATCGACCGCGTAGGGACTGTGTTACACATCATTGCGTCTGTGCGCCCACAGATATCAGTGGTGAACTAAATCCTGATTCTCGGGTCGGTAAATCAGCCAGTCAGTTTTCTGTGGGTGATTTTATAGCCTCACCTAAACCTTTTCCGGTACTGTATGCAAACACCTAGCCACTCGTTCTCGAGCGGGGGAAAGCGGGTACTTGTTCCTGTCCTTCTAACCACCTAATCGGAATGTGTTTCTGTAGGCTGCATCTGTTATCCCAACACACCGTGTTTGCTGATTCACCATTCCACCATCTCGTCACGTGTTAGCTCGGTGTCTGTAACCTCCAAATTCAGATGAATCATCCTCGGCATGCCCTAGTATCCGATTTTCGGTCCTGTGTTCCTGATTCGCTGTCTCTCACTCTCCCACACGCGCCCTCCGTACTGTCGCACTTGCTGAGTCCGAGCCCGTGCTTTCGGTCTGGCTAATCTCCCACAACCGAAAAATCTTTCAAATGACATCGCATTTCTTTTTCGAATCTATCAGTCCAGTTGGTTATTCCGCTGGCGAGAGATCGAATCCATTCAGCTGATAAGTAATCACAGAACGAGAAACGTTTGAGGTCCAAGTGTCCCTACTTTCATTATTCTCATTTATCCATCGAAATCGATTCCTGCTATCCAATGGTTTTGCACTATCCCACCCGGTGATTTCTTTCCCGGTTAACAATTCGTACAGAGATTAATTTCTATAGCATAGGTAATCCAATTTATTCGTCTGAATCACTAACCTATTGTCTTTCAAGTTCAGTCACCGGGTGCTTTTACTTGACCGTTGCATACGTTTCTCATTTCACATCACTGATGTGTCTGTGTGTTTTTGTGCGTGTGCTACCGCGGGTACTACCGAACCACAATCACTCGCATTCGATCGTTCGAATCTTGACAATACAGCCCCGGGGAACACGACAAACATGTGCGCTACTTTGTTAGTTGTGAAATAACACACACACACACCCTTAACTGCCGGAACAGAGTGTAACCAGGTTCATCATCTATGACCGCCGAGAACTTCAAGTCCCAACTTCAAAAGCAAAACAAAATGTAATCGACTGACCCGATTTTCATGAGCGATACTCGTCCGAGTTTGTGAACCATCATGTGCATCTCGGTGGTCCTCGAATCGTGTGTCTGTGCGAAAAGGCAAGCCTATGTTATTCGCATTGTTTCCAGCTAAATGCCAAAAAGCAACAAGTTAGGAGCCAGACTGATGTCACTTAGAAAGTCGAGTGGTTCGACTGTTTGGATATAGATAAGCTAAAATCTGCAGGCCCATCAAATGTTACAATGGAAAAGTCGAAAAAAAGCATCACACAAATCAGCCTAGCCGCCTCAAGGCGGCTGTACTCATCGTGCCAGAACAACGTACGACCTGATTTGTCTGAAAGATACTCCGCATCCACCAGGGTTATCGATCTGTGATAGAGCTGCGACGAAAGATTTGTCGATGTCCTTGACGGGCAACTGTCTTTCTCAGCTCAGAACGCATAATGAAGCGTATGTTGAACCAGTGCAGTTTGAATTCACGGCGCTCAGTGAATATGCATGGAATGGCCGATTGAAAACAAAAGGCGTGCCTCGTTTGAGCGATGCATCAATGTCATAAAACATTTAAGGTACGACTCCTTTGTTTCTGGACGGTAAAAGTGGATTTACTTTTTGGCTGTGACTGCTCACTGCTCACTCAGGCACTTCGAACAAGCCTCGATTTCGATAAGGCAAACCAGTTCATTTCTCCTAACCAAACAACTAGTTCCACACACCATAAAATACTCCCACCACCCTGAAATGCCAATTCGCCGATTCTATCTTTCGGAATCTCATCCATTTGTCAATCGATTACAGCCGAAATCCTCCTTTATCCATCCCGTCAGCAAACGGTCGCCTATCATCACCCCTGGAAGTGCATTGTTTGATGCCAAACGGTTGTTTAACTATTTGTGTTAGTGAACCTTCTGAACCAGGGAAAGTACATTTTTGTTTGAGCACAGCGAACGAATCAGTCCTGATCCCTGCCCAATCAATGTGCGTAGCAGATCGATCATAGCAACTATATTGTTGCTGTTTTGAGGCCTTTTTCTTTTGTCTTGATTTCAAGTGGTGGGCGAAAATGGTCGAAATTGATCAAAACTTGGTAAATAGTGTGAGCTCGGTTGTAGTTTGACTTGTCACAGTGAATTGTGGTTTTTTTATCCATCAGCACGGCACATCTGTGGCTTTTCGTTACTGATAAGGCTGACATTTGGTCTAACAGTAACCGGGACTATTTTGTCTCTGGCTACGGTTTTTAAGATGATCCGTTGAGTAATGTCAACTTATCTACGAAACTTAAATATTTAAGTTGGTGGATCCAGGAAACGATTGGGTTAACTGCGCTCAAACCCTATCGATTTTTTATGCTCGGCCAATTCCTACACCTTGATTGACTTTGGACACGTTTTCATTATCATTATACGATGAGGTTTAGGGTTATTATAGTCGCGTATGAGATCAACAAAAATTCGAAGCATCTACCTATTTTACTCCCGATTAGTACATCAAAATGGATCAAGTATTTTCTTCC